AAATACACATGAATTACTAATAGTATAAACATCATATACATATAGGACAAGGCTGTTAATTAAATAGGTGATTTTCCGTTCACTGCAAGACCTTACGTAATGTGTGAAAGAACCAGTTAGAGCACAAAAATCAAATGATTTGAGTTTGATCTTGAGTTTCTCCTTTTTCTATAGTTTAATGTCGATAATTCTATCTTTCAGAGACGCATTGAGATATCTTTACTTCATCAAAATTTACCATCATCATTATAACATAAAAATAGTTTTGCGTTTGTCGAATCCCATGCGATGATTTGACACCACTACAATGCTATGACCTTTGTTTTGTTTTCATGTTCGATTTTATGCATAACACAGAATCCCGCAGTGAATGGAGAATGGTCTATTGATTGCTTATTTTGGGGAATGTATTAAGATCGATAAAATATCAGCTAATTGCACATCACTGGTGTTGGTGATCTGACAATCCACTCACAACACCTCAAATCAAACAGTGACATAAACTTTAAGGATGAGAGGTTTTTTTGAAACAAAACGAAAAGAGTTCCATAAGCCCCCCTCTCCTTAACTCAAACCCTAATTCTAACACTCCAGTCCCTTAATGTAATTGTATATCTTAATGTAATTGTATATCTTAATGTAATTGTATATCTAAAAATATATATATTTAAAATTCAAATTATACACTTATTTACATAATTTTATTTACTCATTTGTTTATATATCAAATTTAATTGTATATTATTATCTATATATTTGTTTTATAGTGAAATAAACTTCATTTATTCATATGCTCCTCCAGATTACCATACATGTCCTGAAGTGGAGCATATACATTTAAAATGGGGGGGGGGGGGCACTGGAGAGACAGAGTTAGAATTAGAGTTATGAAGGAACTCTTGCCAATGAAAGAATATTGGGGTGAACTGCATGTGGGACAAAACAACAGATCTCTCTCTCTGTAAGACGTACCCATTGACAGATGTCCTGGTCATGAAAACAGACAAGAACATCTTTAAAAAAACGTGTGCAAACTGGGTCAATATCCAATCAGATTTATCATAACAGTTCGTCAAAAATTCTTCTGTCTCTTCATCTTTGTGGCACTGGAGAAAAACACCTTGTAGAGACTCTGGAAAACTGCTTAAAGTACAATCATACCACTGCAGAGGACAGATGGAGGGGAAGGTATTAACATCCATACAAGAACATGTGTGAAACAAAAGTGAAAAAAATTATCTACACTGCTGCACTTTTTACTTATCAATGTCAGAGACAATTTCAATAGCCGTTAATACTCTAGCAACAGTGGTGATCATCTTCAAGATCATCAAAATTAATTAATAATTCATTGAACAAAAACTTTATTATTGAACTAAAACAAAAATGATTCATGATAAAACTACCAAAAACACAGTCTCTATGTGATAGAGAGACAGCACAAATTCGTAACCACGTAAAATAATAAAAAATTGTGAATAAAAAAAAACAGTAAAAACGACAAGTTTAATTAATACGACTGCGCTAAAACAAATCAGCAATACCAAGTGGGGAAACAACACACAGTCATAGACGTCCTTCTCATTTGTAGTTCTTGCATCTCAGCACGGACTAAAATGTGAGGATCATCCTCGTAACGGAAACATACTGCATATGATGAATATACGTGTTTAGTCTCAAACTCTTGTATTATAGTAATGAGTTCATATTTATAAATTGAACATATGTGACATTGAAACGTAATCCTGAGTTTGGAGCAGAGTCAGAAAGAATGAAAACTTACTTTGGACGTATCGACCGTCTGTCGCTGGTCATTCACCGCTTTCCAATAGAGCGACCTCATAAGAGGGTTTCTTATATACATCCCGGACATTGTATTTTGTATATTTGGTGAAGCAGAAGCACTTGTCTTAGGTGTGTTCGGGTCAAGCCAGAAAGAAATATGTCGCTGGTTCTCGACCTATCTTGCTGGGTCGACGTCAACAATGGAGGAAACCCCTTTCCGGGAATTGTGGGTATAGTGACGTCACATTCAGGGGATATTCCTTCTGCTACCTCCGGGTTATCGAAAATGAGCATGACCATGAGCATGAACACGAACTGTAGAAGTATTTTAAATACTAATAATTTCATATTATCATTGTCGATAATTCTTCCTACGAGGAATGGCATATTAGATTGGGTAATGGAACAATTAAAGTACGGTGGTCACCGCGCTCGTTCTGTTCCGTACAGCCTTAGCTACAGAACTACAGCTAGTACAGCCTTAGCCCTGCGTACAGTGCTGTGTA